CAGAAATGGATCACACTCCCCAGCCATCTGCTCCCCACCCCGGGATTCCCTGTCCCACACGGCACGTCGCCCTCCCCCACTCTGTCCCCACTGTTGGAGAGGGCTGGCGCTCCTTGGCTGCAGGACTTATGCCACCGAAAACATGACTTCCCCACCTCCTGCTTACAGGATGAGGCCCAGCCACAGAGGTGGGACGTCAGGTGAACGTTTGCAGCTGGAACCTTCGTTTCGCTGGGTAGTAGTTTGGACTGTGGTTTGGGTAAAATAAGGCAAGAATCAGAGAAAACTGAGAACAGTGAAAAGGAAATTGGGAAGGGGGTTCAGAGGCAGGGGAGAGACCCACCCTCCCTTGATCCTCACTTAAATGTGAAGAAAGCCGGTCAACCCAATTGGAAAGACGGGGGGTGCTGGGGGAACCGCAGCTTAGTTCCATCTTCAGTCACCTGACAACTCTCCTCTCGTGTTTCCCCTAATAACTCAGGAAGACGCAGGCACACAGAGGCAGAGCTGCCCTTCTCCCCAAAGTTAGTGGGACCCTAGTGGCAGGTGACTCTCCAGGTCCCCAGAGGAGACTGCAAGACATCAGAGGAACTGAGCAGTGGCCCCAGATCTGAGGTGCTGGCTCTTCAACACAGTTCTGGTTCCCCCCGAGCTGCTTCCCAACAAGCCCTCACTCCCTGTGGCTGTGCCACGTGTTCAACCACAGGCTTCTCTTGACGCCCACTGCGTCTGACCACCCTGAAGACCAGGCTCTCCCCAGGAGGGCACGCTGCCCCCTGCCAGGCCCCCCACGGCAGCCCACAGGCCTCTGAACGGCTACCAGGCAGCTCTTTCTGAGATTAAAATCTCCCCCCACCCCACCCCCAGGTTTCTGCTGAAATGCCTTCAGAACAGAACTTCCCTTTGCTTTTAGGGAAAAGCTCAAGTCTTTAAATGGCTCACAAAGCCCTTCATGATGCGGCCTCGTCCTTTAACAGCCTTCCCACACACCAGCCCCTTGGAGCTTCTTTAGGTTCCTTGAGCAACTAAGCTCTTGCTCACCTCGGATCCTTACGCATGCTGCCTCCCTCCTACTCCTGCTCCCCTCTCCCTCCCAGTCCACTCTGCAAAGAGCCAATTTCTTATCCTCCCTCATGGGTCACATCAATAGTGTCTCCCCAGGGAGGCTGTCCCTGACAACCCTATCTAAGTCAGGTTCCACCCGCACAAAGCTGCACAGTCATGATTCTCTGACACAGCAACCTGTGGCTCCCAGCTCCATGACTCCTAACATTTGCAGTCACCAATTTTTTTATTCATTTTTTTATTGTCCATCCAAGAAGCTTACTGTTATTTGCAGGATGTCAGAGGCTATGGTTTATTTACCCAGCATCAGCACCAGGCATATGGAAGGTTCCTGAAATCATATTGTCATAAAATATTATAACATACACTTCTCTTGGACCTTTCAGACAGACCAGAGAGAATGGCCACGCCTGTACTGGAGAAGACTGGAGTGATGACGGCCTGAATCAGGGATTGCAAAGTCCTGGAAACAACATGGGCGGGTCTGGTAGACAGGCTCATAGGGTAGCTCTCCAAAGCCCAGATGATAAGTCTGGCTTGATCTGGCTCCATGCCTTGAGTGGAACAATGTTATAAACTTGAGTGTACCCAGAGATTGGTAAGAGTCTCGACGCCATGCTGCATGGAGTAGGGAAACGCTCTGAGACTTGACTGGCAAAGACGTAAGACAGGGTAATGTCTTCTGTCACAGGAGGAACTATCAGTTCTGAACGAAAGCAAAC